TCCAACATTTAGTAATCTAGCCCGATCGGATCGATGCTCTATTGAATGTGTTTGTGATTAGTAGCTGTATTGATCGCAGTGACATCATGTGAACACACCTGAGTGATGGTTATTTCGCTAACAGCTTGTCAGTATCTAAATAAATCTGCGTGTCTTCAATGAGAAATTCAAACAAATACGTAGGCTTTATTTTTCTTACTTGTTTTAAATTATATTTAATTTCACAGTGTGCTTCTTTTCGACCCACATTAGGCCTACTTAAAGACACAGACCAAAGAATTGTCAGCCAAACGTGAATGATGCAGATCTTAAAGAAAATAAATTTACATAAAAAAATAAAATAAAGCCTCAGGTTTTCTTTTTCAGCTTTTTTTTGTGGTAAACTGATACATATTTTGGGATGTTTTTACTCTTAAACTTTCATTAACAAATAGATTAAAAACAATTTTGGACGACAAAAATGATTTATGATAGAAATGTACCGTGTTGATTATCTGTTCTGTAAAGAATGCCAGTTTTATTTGGCACCTGTTGTCCCACATTGTTATAGGCCTTCCGAATAAAAATGAAAAAGAAAAAAAAAAAGGCTAAACGAGTTGACTTTCATATGTAGTGAAACCAAAAGCAGAGAAAGGGATGTGCTCCCAATTCTTTCTGCCAATCGATCAGACTGCGGATGGATCGATATGGCACCAGGGCTATTGATCACTACAGTCCTCTATTGCTGTGCGCTTTCAAATGCAAATGTACCTAAATTATAATCTTTGGCAACACACTAATTCTTTAACAAACTGCAGGCAAACGCTTTGCAAACAAGGAGATTCAATGCGTGAGCGATTCCTTATTTATTTAATTATTTTTCGTTCACATGTCGGCCTCTTAAATTTGGCCGAAGGTCTCTGAGTGTGAAACAAACAGTGGGCTACTGTTTAAAAATTTAACAGGACAAACAGGTAGCTTTAAAAATTCAGAATTACTTTGATTTGGCCTGAGGCCTGTTGAAACATATAATATGTTTTTAAACCAAGTTCAGAGAAATTCTAGTAACAGAAAAAAAATAGATCATTTGACATCTTAAAAAATATCAAACAACAGAAGTTTAAATTGCATGTAGTTTAAAGAGTTCAAAACACATTTAAATCATTAGCCATACATAGCCTATAGTCATGTAAATCTCTCTCTCTCTCTCTCTCACACACACACACACACACACACACACACACACACACACACACACACACACACACACACACACACACACACACGGTTATTTAAAGCAGAGCCATTGGCAAACAATGCAGATGTAGAGGATCCCAACAAGGCCATTTCAGTGTGTGTGTGTGTGTGTGTGTGTGTGTGTGTGTGTGTGTGTGTGTGTGTGTGTGTGTGCTGTGGATGGAGAGAAGAAGAAGCAGCACCTCGTCCCGCTGACTTGCTCAGAGGCCTGATCAATGCGACATTACTAAACACTGCTACTTAACTTTTGCCAATAGCCAGATTCAAGTAAATATACTTTAGAATACATTAAGTGTGATGCATCAGCCGTGGAGTCATTCAAGAAGTCATGAAAAGATTAGTCTGTCTCTATCGAGTCATTCCTGGGAAAAAAGACAAGCGTACTACGGGAGAGTTGGCCCACAATACCTTTCATTTAAACACTGTGTGTACTGGACTATAAATTATGTGAAATAAAATTAACGTTAAGAGGGCTACAATTTACATTTTTGGCACCTGTAGCATAAAACATACAGCTTCTTAAAAATTAAACTGATTGTTACTTTTTAAATGTAAAAATAATTTAAAATGATAAAATAATATAAATACAACAAATGAAGAATGTAGGAAATAGTTCTAACAGTGAAATAGCAACACAAATGTGTTTTTCCCCAGCAGCACTCAGCCAAATGAAAAGCTGAGCTCAAACTTTCTGAGCTGAGTGCTGTGTGCTTTCTTCATGTAATGAAACGGCCTGTTGACACAGGTCAAACACACAACAGGATGGACCCAACTTTAGCAGAATGCATCTTTGGCACTATTGATCCTTCAGAAATGCATCGAGCGGAGCTCGGGGTTCAGCATTGATTAGTTGATCAGCAAACGACAGCAGTGCTTAAAGATAAAAACAAACTGCTGTGGGCCTCATAAAACACTTGAATTGTGAGCCTTAAACTGACTGCACATAATCAGTGTACAAGGTATAAAATAATAGGCCAATTTAAAGTTTTCTAGAGATGTTGTTTTTTAATAAGTAACAAATAAATAAATAAAAATAGAGCTACACAAACATTACGTGTGTGTGTGTGTGTGTTTGTGTGTGTAAAGTCGATGCCAACGTGGTGCTGAGGCCACCGCCTCGCGCTCTTATTAATATGAAATAAATGAGCAGTTCTCTGCAGCGTCGCCCCCGTCACACCGCTGATATCGACACAGTTAATATTTTATAGTGTGTTTGCCATAGGATATGCTTATTTGAGTATTCCAAAACAGTACTTTGGAAATACAAAATTTAACTGAGCTCTAGGCGGATGCATGAATTGTTTTTATTATTTTATTTTGTGGGCGGGGGATTGGGTGGTTTCTTTGCATCAAATTCTGTTTTGTCTTGCTGAGAGGAAGATTTCACTTGTGCGTATAAAAGAAGAAAACAGAATTGATTGAAATTCGGTAAAAAGTGCGTTGATCAGTTCCTTACGTCCTGTGTTGACCCTGGCGTATTTCTCTGATAACACGGATGAGTGCAGCTCTTTAAAAGTATTGAAATAAGTAAGAGATATTGTGGAAAATGAAGTTAAGAGTTGTTGGTAAGAGTGTAAAACTTTTCAGCGCGTTTGTTTTGGGTTGTAAACCCTGGTGAATTAGGAGCGAGGAGCCAGCAATGAAAGTTAACATCCATCACCACCGCGACCAATAAGCTGCTCTGGCCGGCTGGCTGAGCACAGATGACGGATTCGCTGCTGTGCGGGCTTCGGTAATTCATTTTCGATAGCAGTGGTTGCTGGGATCAATACAGGGACATTAACCCAAGCGGACACTGCTGTTCTCCTGATGGCACAAGCCAAAAGCCACCATCCCCCTGTTGGCAATCAGCAAAGACACACTTTTTACGCTCATTATTTGGGGGAGAGGACCAGTGTGCCAAGGCCGCTGATATCACTATTCATCAGAGCAGTTATGGATGGCCCTGACCTAACTGTTGGTAAACACTGGTCAGGGAGATTATTTTATGCAATTTGCAAATGATTAGTGATGCCACTTCCTGGATTGTTGAACTTTTTTTTTTCAAAGTCCGGGTCGAAATCCTAATGGCCTCATTTTACATAACGTCGGTGCGAATATGCCAAGCTTCTCACTTTGAACAGTGTTCACATAGTTTACAGAGCAGTGGGGCCTGCTGAGGACACACAAACATACAGACACGGACAAATCCCGTGTGCCTTGTAACATGTCAGAGAGGTGTTTTAGTGATTTTTACACATATCCAGCACTATAATGTGTCACTCCTCTCGGCACATCACACCCTATAGCTGCACATATATAGGCCGGGCGCAGCCGTAATGGTAACATACATACGCAGTGGATAGTTTATATTGTATTATATGTATGGAACTTATTAAGACCAGATTTTGTTTATGCATGCGTCAGGTCGGTCTGGATAAGAATCTTTGGTATTTTTTTAGGCCCCGAAGGAAGAAAATAACAAGGAGCACTCACATTTTTTACAACATTTTAAAGAATATTAAAAAAAAAAACATTCCCCTTCACAAGTTAGCAAATGTATAAGTGTTTAATACGGGAATATTGGAATTGGATAAGAATTGACTCAGTTGCGCACGATTCTGCATGTACCACATTGCATGTAACCGGTACAGGAAGCATAACAATGTTTACTTCATAATTATAGCGGACTGAAACTTTTGGACAATATTTTGGGGGGCTCAGTGCTGTCAGTTTTTCACCCAAAACACGTGGCCCTTTAGTTACCACCCTCCAATCCCCCCACCTCAATGTGCTGTGCAATATAGCATCCATATTGCGGGTCCCTACATATATAGGCACCAACCTATTGATGCATCTCCTGATCCATACATACTTTGACATTGATGGATTGCTGACCTGGATTGACGTCAGCAAGCTGCAACTTTCATACAGAAGTTTGTAGGAACATTATGTGAGAGTTGTGGGAGGGAGTTGGGGTTTCGTGGCCTCAATCCGAGGAGCAAAGATCCTAGAGGGGTCAAAGCCCAGAGGCTATGATGAAATGACACTCCGCAGACGTTCAGTAACATTTGCTGGAGGAAAAACTTGTAAGAAAAAAGTTTTATGAGTGAAAGTTTGAAAGAGGAGATTGGACTTAAACAATTGACCGTTTCCTTTTCAGACTGTGGAAGAGAGACGCAAATGTGATTTCATTTGGAGGCTGATTAACATTTAAAGAGCAAGAGGCCATCCCCAGTCTGAAGTTGGAATCTAATATTTAAGCTTTTAATAATTTGATATATTTATTCATTGTGCACAAGTGGCCCCTTAAACGTATGCAATACAAAGGCAGAGGCATGGAGGCTATGAAGTCCTCTTAGGAGAAGTTGAGTTTTCTAATTACAATCGTGTCCTGATGTGACACAAGTCAATTAATCTTTAACTTTGAGCAGAGGCATCACATGTGTTTCTGGCGCCATGTCACACGCTTTTATCTGAAAAAAAAAAAAACAAGGAGCTAGTCCATCTTATCCATCTGAGTGCAAATTTTGCGCACGCTGCAGAGGATTGCAGGTCTGTGTGTTATCTCAGACTCTAATGCAATCTTTTCCATGAGTTTAAGGTTCACTCTGCAACATGAGCAACCCATGACATAGGGGCCAGTGACGTCAGGATGGCTCCAGACAGAGTGCACGAGTGCGCGGATAGGCCACGGGGGCGCGCACATGCGCACAGGCTCGGTCTCATCTTAACATGAGCGCGGGCGCGTCAATATACACACAGAGAGCAGAGCAGCACTTTGGGTATAGTAGAAGGTGCTCCACAGCGAGAGAAATCCAGGCTTGCTGCACCTACACACGCTGAGTAGAGGTTTGCGGCGACTGGGATCTTTTAAAACCATGCTGGATTGACTGCAGAGAGGCAACTACAATCAATGGCTTGGCTTTGAAATCGTTGGAAATTTATTGGAAAGGAGTGTGAGACAGAGCGACAGTGAGAGAGGGAGAGAAGCGAGGGAGAGAGCGAGAGAGTGGCGAGAGGGGTGGAAATAAAGATCCTTTCAACGATGGAGCTTACAATGGAAAACATTGGAAATCTGCACGGTGTTTCTCACTCCCATCAAACGAGCGACTTAATGAACTCCCCGCACGCGCGCCAGTCGTCGGCGTCGCATCGGAACTTGGTGTCGCACGGGCGCTCAGCCATGGTGTCCAGCATGGCCTCGATACTGGAGGGAGCGGGGGACTACCGTACAGACCACGCACTGTCTGGGCCGCTGCATCCGGCCATGACCATGTCGTGTGACTCCGGGATGAGCCTAAGCAGCACCTACACCACACTGACGCCTCTGCAGCACCTGCCCCCCATATCCACCGTGTCGGAGAAATTTCACCACCCGCACCCACATGCTCACCATCATCCGGCGCATCAGCGACTTTCAGCCGGGAACGTTAGCGGCAGTTTCACCCTGATGAGGGACGACCGCAGCCTCGCCTCCATGGGTAACCTCTATGGTCACTATCCCAAAGACATGTCCGGCATGGGGCAGTCTCTGTCCCCCCTCTCCAACGGGCTGGGCTCTTTGCACAGTTCCCAGCAGACTCTCAGTGCCTACGGTCCCGGTGCTCACCTCTCCAATGACAAGATGATCTCCTCGGGGGGCTTCGAGTCCCACGCGGCCATGCTGTCCCGGGGCGAGGAGCACCTGGCCCGGGGTCTTGGGGGCCACGGGCCCGGACTCATGACCTCATTGAATGGCATCCACCATCACAGCCATCCGCACTCTCAGGCAAACGGGTCAATGCTTTCTGAGCGGGACAGGCAGACGGTGGTAGGAGGCGGACAGGGCGGTGGGTCGGGGCAGGTGGAGGAGATAAACACAAAGGAGGTGGCACAGCGAATAACGGCAGAGCTCAAGCGTTACAGCATCCCGCAGGCCATCTTTGCTCAAAGGATCTTGTGCCGGTCCCAGGGAACTCTGTCCGACCTGCTGCGGAATCCTAAACCATGGAGTAAACTCAAGTCAGGCCGGGAGACGTTCAGGAGGATGTGGAAGTGGCTCCAGGAGCCCGAGTTCCAGCGGATGTCGGCGCTCAGGCTTGCAGGTGAGTGAGGAGACAGCTCACAACCTGAGTGATGTGGAGGGATCAATTAGAAGTCAATGTGGCGAGACTGTCAATAGCTGCTCAAACAGACATTACTAGAAGTTATTAGTCGATTGTATCGAGTAAAACTTCATCATGACAGTTGGGGTGTTAAATGTTGGGGAAATCTATATTTTGATTGATGCTACAATCCATGAGAGTATAAACATACGCTGTGCAACAATGTAGGTGTTAGAAAACAAACGAGAGGAAGTGACTTTTAAAAGTAACCAAAGTGCAAACGTTTGCATAGATGTGTTTGTTTTTACGCACGGACAGAAACTGACAAACACACACCTCTCCCTCTTTCTCTCTCTCTCTGCCATCCATACTCTCCCTCACTCACACACACAAACACACACACACACACACACACACACACAAACAAAAACATACACAGAAGGAGACCAAACAAAGGAAATCAAAGCAGAATGTGACCAAAATTGATTACATCTCGATGCAAATACAATAGAGGTAAAAACAAATCTACACTCTGAGATCAGTGCAAACACCAAGTTTTACTTTGGACTCTTTTGTATCAAATGCACTTGATGTGATACTCGCCTTGTCAAATAAGGCGCAAACAAGGATCGTCTGAGGCCTGGCCAGAGAGTCTGAGGAGCATGACCTCCTATAGATCAATATTTCAGGTCCAGGCGTCCCCTTTCAGAGCTGCGCACTGATAAATGATCGATTTGGATCTGAAAGACAGAGACACAAACAGATGCGTCTTTCTCTGGTCTGTCTGTGTTGTGTCCTCTGCCCTCTCCACAATTTGGCCTGTTTAGCTTTTCTGAAGGATTAGATTTTTGTTGTGTTTTGTTAGAATGTACGTGAATCATTGAAACATGACAATAGAAATGAATGGACAATCTTTGTGCGCAATGTGTTATTTGTGGTCACATGTGACGCTGTTTCTCCATTTTGTCTCTCTGAATGGTTGATTTCTGAAAGCCATCGTTGTGATTTGTATTGCGCAAATCACTTCAACGTTGTGATTTGAACCCAGCTTCCCGACCCATAAACCCTCCAACATCAGAGTTACTGACTCAAATGGAAAAGGGAGACGTCGCATAGGGCTTAAAACAGAGGTGTGAGTGAGAGGTCCCCTCTCATCGATGTTTGTGTAAAGGCCCCATTTAAACGTGCAGCTCTTCCAAACGTCAATCAGGTCCGCTGTGTCGTATTTCAGAGAACAGTTCAATTAAGCAGATATAGTGGCATATTTTAGTTCCAGTCAATGCTCTATTGAAAAGCACTTAATGGCATGTAAATTGTTCCTTTGCGCATTTAGAGGGGTTCTGGTAAATAAAGATTTAAACACTCCACAATTGTCTCTTTAAGTGCCACTGCTGTTAAAGCTAATTGGGCTGTGGGGTTTTATATCTTCTACACTCGGCACCAGGATAACCCAGCAGTGCCCCCGCCCCCCCAATCCAATTGACAAGTTGGAGTGGCAGAGTCCTGTGTAGCGCACACCTCCTGCATATTCTACAGCGATCAGGCCCAGGGCAGTCCTGGCGGTAAGATGTGTGTATGTGGGTGCGTATTTGGTTTAAGTATGGAAATTACGGCTGCACTCTTACTTCTATTTGATCCAGTGGCGATGGGTGTTATTGATTATTTTGTTTTAAAATGCATTTTAACATACAAATCAACTAAATATGTTAATTTTTCTATCTGGAATCAGCAGAAATATAGTGCTTTTTTGTATAGTGCACTCACCTGCAGTTACAAAAGGTCTGAGAGAAAAATCAAGTTGGTTTAAATGACAAATGACTCTTATGTAAATGTACGGAGCAACATTTTACTTATTGCATTTAAAATCACCATTATCCTTGGTGCGCATGGGCTGGTAGTGGGAGTTGGGGGGTTGCGTTGCTGAAAGTGAGGCTGGGCCATACTCGCTCGGCCACATCAATCAATAAATTCAAATTACTATTCCAAATTCATCACAGTCACACAAATCAATGCCGCTGCCCTGCTTAGCTAATGTGAAAATGCCAGTGTCTACACACAGACGCGCACACACACACACACACACACACGACAATCCAGCCCTGAAACGAAAAACAGAGCAGAGATAGGCCCGTTTGAGGGGAAGTGTGAGTGTGTCCTTCACGCTTAACATCTCCCAATGCAACGAGGGCAAAGACCCACAGGCTTCCCCACCTATTGTTCTCTTCATAAGCAGAGCCAATCAGCCAAGTCCAGCTAAAAGCTTTAACCTTTGGGTGCCTCTCTGAGCATCTTAATGCACACGCATAAGTCCACTTTTGTATAAGTAAAAAGGCACCACATTGCAAAGCTGCTCGACTGAGAAAGACGCGCGCAAAGTGAGGTTTGCGAGGCGTTTAAAGATCGCATTAACGATGAAAACAATTCGTCTTTGCATCTGTGTTGAATTCCACACTCCATCTCAATGTATTTGGTCGGGTCAATACAGCCCTGATCGATAAGGATAGCCAGTGCATCTATCAATTATCCCGCCTCAGCACTCTCCCCCATTGGTCTCTCCCCCGGAGAAGAGGGGGGAGGCGGGGGCCGGAAAAGGGGGGGAAATAGGACAGCTGTTGTACAAAAAAAAAAAAAAAGCTATTGCAACACCTATTTTTCCTGATCTTTAATCACGTTTTATTTGCCGTCTGTATTGCACTTTCACTCATTTGTTCTGCAGGGTTTAGGCTATACAGGTACGAGCGTAATCTTCACGCTTGACACCTCTTTTTCTGGACAACAGAAAATTATCACATCAAATTTTGGGTATAGGCTGTATCTTACAAATAGCGGGTTCGCATCAAAATGAAAGAAACATCTCCCAAATACACGTTCCGTTACGCCTCAATACTTTCTCAATGACAGTGATGATGTGCTATGGCATCCCTCACCAAAGAAAGGCAGGGTGGAAAAGCGCAGTTGGTTTATTATCATTTGAATGGCCAGAACACGTGCCAGGGGGCGCAGGTCAGGACCCACAGGACACGCAGAGAAAACATGTTTAGAATGAGGGTGAGAGGCCTCTATTCATGTTTCAATGAGCTACACCAAGTTTACACAGATCTAATACGGGAGCAAAACTCCTCCTCCCCATGCACTGACATCCACCATCACAGCACGTGCACCACTGCAATTCCTACATTCATCTCACGAGGTATACTTCTAGTTTTAAACAAGGTTTCACAACTAGGATCATATCACGTCAGGTTGCAATAAACTCGTTAACATTTCTGAATTTTTGTATACATTTTTGTATATTCTGCAATTTATATTAAAAAAAACAAATCTAATTTAGTATGCCACCTCAAGAGTGCACAAGCTGTTTTTTTTTCCTTCTTGTAGGCACAGCGTTTCAAGGCGCTGTCCAGAGTGCTGAAACGGACGTCTATCCACACACATCGGCAGCATCTTCTCTCCTTTTTGGAGGACAGTTCAAGGTGCTGAACTGGAGATTCACCAATACATAGTTAATAGCATTCTTGTAGGCCCTAAACACCATTATTTCATCCAACAGCTCCCACCCATCGATCAATATTACAATCCACAATCGCGTCAATCACATAATCCAGCACCCATACTTTTCAGTCAAACAGGGGTTTCCATTTAAATCTCATCTCATTACTTCTTGGCGCTGCAAAACACAAACTGTGGGTCGTTTTATATTTTGGGATGCCATACAGAAATATCCTGCAGCAACAAAGACACAAAAATCGTCCGTGGTGATGCTTCTTCTGGGTCATTTAAACTGGGATAATGGGTTTAATTGGAGGGGGCATTAAGATGTGATTGATGCGGGTTCATCTAAAACAGTTTTTTTTCTCATGAAGACGTGGCTTGATGTTAGCCTGCGAAATGATCGATTGGGACTTTAATAATTGATGTGTGAGGGGAAGATGGGGGGTAAACAGTGCAGCTGCGGTTTCAGAGCCTCGTCTTCGTTAAGCACAGCATCGTGTGCTGTAAGTAGTGAGACACGCATGTACAAGCATCGCCTTTGAAATCCTCTAGTGGGAGAGCAACAGTCATTTTCTGGAGGTTATACCTCGAGGCTATTTGGTTTTAATCCCGGGTTCAGTGCGGCTCAAACCAGATGAAATGACATCTCACGCCTCGCATCATTATCTGCAACCAGGCTATATGATGCTGGCTGTATGTTGGAGGGTAAAGCTGAATAATTCAGCGTTATATTTACATAAAATGTTCATGTTGCAGACTTATTTGAATACTCTTTATTGAAGCCAACATTCAAGTTACATAAGAAGGGGGGTTTAAGGAAAACCACCCCAACCCATGCACCTTTTTTATGATGCATATAGCGCGTCCTATGAGATTTTTGTTCACCACTGCATAACTGGAGCATATCACAGCCTGCATATGTGTCGCCTCCCCGTTTCTTCTCTCCTGTGTGTATGTGATCGGGATGTAGAGTGCGTCTGCGCCACATTGTTAAGGCCGATCTGGCGAGCCCTGAATCTGAATCGATTTCCATTCCCCGGCCTCTGCTTTCCATCTCTGGAACTGCGCCATGCAGCCATGCAACCCCCTCCGTCTCCACCATGCAACACCATTTCTCCCATTAACAGCTCACCCTTCAAAACGCACAACACGATGACTAATAAACTTAGCATGCTCACGCGCAGATCTACTGCATTCCTCTCGTGCTCCCCAGTCAAATGCTGACTTTTTAAATTTTAAGAGGTTGATCTCCATTTCTGTGGTATAGGATTAGCAGCACGAGACGGCTTACAGTTCACAGACAGTTAACCTCTTTCTGCTCATTATACATCCCACCCACACTGCTCTGACCAGCCGACCTTATTATTCTAAATAATGTAATTTTAATAGAAAGCAGATTAGCGACAGAAGCACGAGCCTGTTCTGTCTCCCACGTCTTCACCCATTTCTCATTTTAGCAACACACACGGGCGCGCGCACACACACACACACTCGCACGCACGCACGCA